CATGTGCTCGAACAAGCCTGTCCATGCGTTTTAGCGTCTGTTTGTGGACAACGGCCAAGCAGAGTTTATGAAGATGCCTTGGAAGCAGGAACGTCTTCAGAAGCTCCAAGCGCTGGTAGGGTTTTAAGGGCGCTTTTGTAATTTCTTCCAGTTGAGCACGTAACTCGCCTGCGGAAGCTGGCGGGAGTTTACCTTTCCAACTGAAAGGCAAGCCTAACATCGTGAATTTCTCTTCTGGTTGCAAGGAAGGAATAATGCAATCTCCACAGTCTAAAGGGGCGGTGTCCAGTATCGTTAGTTTTCTTGAACGGTCCACTACAATGTTGACGGAGGTTGACTTCATCTGGTTGATGGACAATCCTATGAGGGCCAGTTTATCACTGAAATGTCGCAAGCGCTCCTGCAGCGAAAACCGGTCCTGAGCAAATATCAGGACGTCATCCGCGTAGGCGAGATAATCAATTGGCCCTACTGGGGATGTCCAGGGTTCAGAGGGTAAATCTTGCAGAGCTTCGTCCAGCGTCATGATAAATAGTAAGGGAGAGAGTGGATCTCCCTGTCTAACTCCTCGTTCCGGATGGAGGTGAACATTGTTGAAAGTGGAAGTAGCTGAGGAGTAGGAAGCAAGGTAATCCAGTAGCAGAGGGGGTGCGCCAAAAGCAGAGGCTGCGCGTAGTAAGGACTGATGAGAAAGAGAATCAAAGGCTTTGGAAATATCAATTGAAGCAAAGGAAAGTGGAGAGTATGAAGAATGCGCGTGTCGCAGTGCGGCGTGCATTATCGCAGGTGCTTCAAAGCATCCATCCTTACGTAGGAAGCCGAATTGTAGACGATTTGAAGGAAAAGTGGGAACCCAGCGGTCAAATAGGATTCGATGAAGCAGACGCGTAAAGACGGAAGTGACGGAAATAGGCCGAAATAACTCAGGAGAAGAGGGTGCATCTGCCTTGGGAACAAAAGTGATACGTGCTGTATTCATGTGTGAAGAGAAGGGCGAAGAAGCGAGGAGAGCGTTGAGAAACGCAGTTACAAAAACGGGGTCCATCCTCAATACATCCCGTGGTGTGACACGGTCAACCCCCGGTGCTGAGCCTTGCATCTGACGAATCGCTGCGCGCACCTCCTCTTGGGTGATGGGTCTCACCAAATCTGGGTTAGTGGGGAGGATATTGCGAGGTGGACGGTCGTCATGTACTGGAGGCTGAGAAATGACTTTTGTCCAGAAGTCCGTAAAACCAGGGATACGGTCGTCTTCTTGCAGGAAAGCCGTTCGCCATCTGCCATCAATAACGGTTGCTGCTGCATCTTTACGCCTCGTATGATAGAGACGTTAGATGTGGCCATATTGTAGGCGTCGGCGTTGCTGATTGTTCTTAATGACTGGCGGTACCTTTTTGCGTTTCGTCGGCGCCCATCTCCGAGGGAATAGGCTGGTACATGCGGCATTAAGCTCTCTACTATAGTGTTCCCGCGAGATGTCGTCTGGTAGGGAAAGCAGCATGTTGAGAAGCAGGGAATTTGGTTCGTTATTGGCAGCTTTGCACCCACGCGCCAATCGTTGAGCCTCCGCGAGCAGAAGGCGGAATGGGGCTGTGTCATCGACCATCTGTGTGGTAGAATGCGAAACTGAGACTGCGGAAAGGGAATGAGGATTGATCAAGTCAGCTGGAGCACTGAGAGGCAAAAGTGTGGACGTGGGCCGTGGCTCCGATTGGGAGTTTAGTCTATCGTCCGCGTTTAAGGGTGAATCCTTTTGCCTCAAAACAACGTCCTCCAGAGTGCTTTGTGATGCATCCAAGTCCACGGGAAGTAGACAGAACCCAGTCAGGATGGTGGGGTTGGCTTTCTGTATTGTGGATGAAGCAACTGTTGCAGCGGAAGTATTAGTGTATGTATTACGTCGAGCAATCTTGTTCGTCGGTGGGGGGATGCTAGCAGCATGAAGGTCCTCGGCTGCCACATTCCGGGTAAGTTGTATTAGTAAGTCATTTGATGTCAAGCATAATGAGTTCGATGGTGTACACTGGCGTCGCTGCAGCGGTGAAAGGGAGGACGGTTGGATAAGTATCGGAGTGAGCGAAACCCGAGACTCTACGGTATATCAATGGTCAACCCAAAATTTACTGCATTGCAACGTCAGTAAATGCAAGATACTTTGCATCCGACATCAGAGCAGCTACTCATACCGGCTCGGAACGAATATACTGCAACAACCAACTGTAAAATATAACTTGGGTGTCCTGGTTTAAGATGACATGGGTTGCTTCAGGCAATTCGAAAAGGCCTCGAAGACTGGGAACCAACACGTCGGACTGTTGCGACGGATGTATAGAAAAATAAACAGCTCCATATTTCGACAAATGTTCAGTGCGTATGTTCGCCCCCATGTCGAATACGCAATTCAAGCCTGGCTTCCATGGCTGAAATACGATCTTAATGCACTGGAACAGCCACGTCGGGCTTCTAAGAACGTAATTGGAATGCGCAATCTTTCATACCAGGAGAGACTGCAACGATTGGGGGTATTCAGTGGAAGCTATCGCAGGCTACGAGGCGACCTGATTATGAGATACTTGATTCTGCGAGACCATCATGTGTGCCGCCCATTACTGCGATTCAGCATCAATATGAACCTGAGGGACCACTCATTGAAACTCGTAGAACAATATAGCCGTCTAGAATGCCGCAGAAATTTCTTTTCCATTCGTGTCTCTCACTCGTGGAATGCTCTCCCAGAATCGGTCGCCTCTGCACCGACACCAACAGTAGTTAAAACACGATTGGATGACGCACTCATCCACTTATACTTTGTCACTAAGCGCTACGTCTCCGTCCTACACCTGTACTTAACCATGAATTTATTTTACGTTAACTGCGGGTGCTGTGAATCTAAGCGGATTGCAGGACTACGGCGGAGCAAACGCTAAGTCCTTATTTTCATATTTAAAGTACTAACTGTTTTACTATTAACATTATTATTCCGATATTCCCAGCAACTATCCAATGGGACTTGTAAAGCAAGGCTTCTTAACCTGTATAAATTCATTGTTTATTATTCATATTATTGATTGACCGGACCTGAATGACAGCACATACGCCGGCCCATGACCGAAAGGACTAGTCATCTTTCCTGCAACGCCGATGTCCCGGGCAACCCTCGCATTATCAGTAGCACCTACGTAACTGGTGGTCGTTGCGTAGCAGCGAAGCGCCGGTACGGCGTAATGTTTCATTTTCCGAGCTACGTATTTGTTGCAAGGGTTGTACTTGATCGAGTAGGCTGCCTCAAACTGGCGGATCATAGCAGTAAAGTGCAGCGGAAGGCACAACGTGTGATAATGTGCATGCAATGGGCTGGCACACGATGCGTGCTGGCAAAATGCCTGCCCCACACTCGTGAACCATTTTACAGCTGAAGGAAAAATTGTCCGTGGGTGCCACCTTTTGTTTGGATCAACTCACTCGTGTCTATCGGACACAGGACGCACCACAAGGTGTTTAGCCGGACGTGTACGTAAACCTCACCCAGAGTGGAGCAAACAGAACATATACCACTGCGATTGTCGCACATTTGGCCGATACTAATCACTCGGTTATCAGCTTTAAGGCTTTCCGCCCGAGCTACCACTTGAGCGGAGCCCGATCCAAATTGATCAAGTGCCGCATACTTGCAGTGGCAAACGGGATCGCAATCCGTCTTAAGCACCTCCCTTTTGGAACGCAGAAACAAACACATTGGGCACAAAGTTTGGAGTAGCTGGGTCATAGCAGTCCATAACCGGTGTGGAATGGTGATAAAGATGACTGAATCAGAAGTCCCGAAGGCTAACAGAGCTCGCACGTGGCTATCAATCAATCATCATCAATACACATTAGCCGAAGGTGAGGAACACACCGCAGCTAATGCGCCACAATACAAAAAGGTAAGGCGTTAAGCAATATAGACTTAAAAGCTATAAAAAATAACATAATGCTAATATCACGTTTGTGATGGTTGTTGCAGGAGGAAGCTAAAGTGAAAGAGAGGGATACAGACTCACAACGTAAAGCCATCGAAGTCGTCTCTTTGCCGTGTCGGTTAGTGTATCCAACCAAACGTTTTCATCATCCTTCGGTCCCCAGACAGGCAGTCGGGAAATACCAACCGACGAGAACTTCGAAGTGAGGGACTTCATTCATCTTGACCAAGTCATTGCTTGGCCTCTCCTATTTTTCTATCCACACCCCCGGCGCGCAAACGATACACGTCGCGTGAGTCGATGGGCTGGCATGCGAAACAAGAGACTCACACTAGTGGAGAAATTATGCCAGACGTTCGTATCGCATACGCGTATGCCTAACAACGTATGGCTGACTTGCCGAACAACCTCTACGTGATGCTAGCTGAGTGGTTCGGGTTTCACCTGCTCCAGCAAATGATTCCATGGTAGTGTTCCAGGATGTGGTGGGTTTTTGCCTGGCAAGCGTCCGTTTACCAACACTACGACGTGGCGCATGTGAGTCACCACTAAATGAAGTCACTATCCATTGCTTCATACTGGCGGAGCGTGGCATTCCGACAACTTGATGCTGGAAATGTGCGGAACGTTGGGCCGTTGTTCGGCAAACGAACAAACAATAGGCGCATGAACTGAGCAATCAGTCACGGGCTCCCAATGGGCGCGAATCCCTTAATTCGCTAACTCTGACTTTCGGGTAGGCTATTCGGCCAAAGACTCGAGGTGGTGCCCCCCTACTTGGGCATGGGAAACCGACTAGTATCTCGCCTTCCGACGTAACCATGGATTCCTCTGGATTGTCTTGTTTTCTTTTTAGAATAACTGTACTTTTTTGAGTTCCACTGTTTTTAATCGCTCCATGTCTACCCGTAGACTGTTGCAAATATATATAATAAGCATTTATACAGACAGCCCATATAAGGATTATAGAAGGGAGGGATATCACGGGAACAAGATTGTAGGACAGCGAAGGACGCTAAATGGAGAAGACATTTGACGAACCTAGAGGGTGTGGGATACACATTTAAAACAGCTGTGGCTTTTGGTCCAGAAAGTCCATGGATTTGCAACAACTGCTTGGCGAACATGTCTCGGGAGGTCGGAGGGAGTGATTTGTTGGCCAACCGGACGAAATCGACCCAAGGAAAACCAATTAGTGCTGAGGACTGTAAATCAGGTGATGTACCTGGAGCACAGATAAAGAGGTTGTCCTGAAAGCAAATGGATGGAGTGAGCAAGTAAGCTAAAGGTGTTCTTTTTTGTGATGGGAAACAAGCCACAAGGTCTCCGGTGACAGTAAACATGAAATTGTGAACAAAAGACTGCGCATGGGAAATGCCTCGAGCACTTTGGTCTTCAGCGTGAGGAAGGTGTGATCAAAAGAGGCTCTGCTTGTCGGGTTGCGCTTATATGTAGCATACAGGAAAACAAGGGTTATGCTTGACAAAGAATGTGGTAAAAACGCGAACCAAGGTCAGGTTGCAGGGTCCACACAAGAATATCAGACAACTAAGATACGTGTACAGAAGTGCGATAGATCCGGTTATTCTGCTTCCCGTGTTCATATAAAGGAACTAACCGGAGTTTGCCTGTTAGCATCTCAGGTATGGCTGCGACTGATGCAAGTGTCAACAGGGTGCCTACTTGTCGATTACAGTCCGCAAGGATTTAGTATCGTCCAATGTACATCACCCAAGCGACAGTACATTTGTGTGGCCGGAAGTATGAAGGAGCGACTGGTATACTCCCCCGAAGATTTATCGAGAGACGTAACCAACTGCGAGGTTCGAAGGACTTGATGCACACGGCAGCCAAGAAGGTTAATATCGAGTTACTTCTCAAAGGTGATTTTAACAGTGTTGAAGACGACCAAACATGTAATCTTGTCTATGTGATGAAGATACTATGCTACAGTCGTTCTCATTAACCTAAGGCGTAATTTACCTGCACGTCCAACGAACAATGCTCAGGCTATCGGATTAAACTCAAAACGTGTATAGAAATTGGTGTGTGAATACGCAGTTAGGTATATGGGCAGAACCGATAGGAGTTTGAGTTTTCGAATAAAGGAACATATACCGCGATGCGTTCAGCCTGAAATTACCTACATCCCCTGCCGATATCAACTTCTATGCCCGCGTAGACCGCCGGCTTCCTCGACAGGCAAACATCTGGTTTCCAGGCAGAGTTGGGCTCAACGTTCAAAGTTGTATTGCATCACGCTAATCCCTGATCCTTTCAGTTTGCTGAGGCTGTCGCAATTAGCTGCATGTAATAAACAATTATTTCTCAGCCTAACGTTGCACTGAAGGTAGAGGCGAGCTTCCGTCATTCACTCTGCAGCTCAAGCATGTCTGGTAGCGCCCAGTGTTAGCTTTACTTGTGCACAGAAATTATTGCCAATGGTAACGAGGCGACAATACAGAATGCATGCATCTACTAGCTTTTGTTCTCTTTCTGTGCTCTGTACTTATGAGCAATACAAGCTCTAAGTGGAAGAAGAAAAGGAATAAAACTTTACCTTGGTGTACTCGACTTGTCGTGGAGAACATCAGAATTTCCGGTGGACTCTAATTTGGTTTCGTGGGTTGAGGTAGAGAGGCTTTAAAATACAAAGTAGTTTTTTTGACACACCGTGATACCAAAGCCTGTGAGGTAGGCGGTAGAAAACTAGTGAGCAACGGACATGCTATTCAAATGTCAGAAACAACGAGTGGCGCTCTTGATTTAGCCAAACGGACTGAGAGTATAAGCAATAAACGGTTGTGTTTCAGTGCCTAGAAAGTGATCGGCCATTTATCGATAAAGAAAATGTCACAGAGTTTAGCTAACCACTAATCTTATGTGAGTGGCTCTGAAAGCTCTCGAAAGATTGTACCCAGCGTAGCTCAACAATCACAAAGGTACGCGAATAACTGCATCGCACCATAGCTCACTATGATCGCAAATGACGATTCCAAGCCAGAAAGGCCGTTATGACCAGCCAGGAGCACCCAGCAATGCGGTTTCCGACTGAACAAAAATGGATTAAACTGAAACGCATCAAACTCACTGCGGAACGTTCCTGGAGGACACTAGTCATTGAAGCGAGCCAATCGACTGAGTCTTCGGAGCCGCGTGTGACCATAACTTGAAAACCGTCAATGATCTAGGTTAATTGGAAAGCAGAGAACATTATTAGCTATTGGATACCGGCTTACAATAAACGACAGCAGAAAGTAACGAAATAGGTCAATGTGTCTCCGAGCAACACCGGTAGAGAACGATAGGTGGGGAAATCAGGGAAAAAAGTACCTGTCCGTTGGAGATGGCCTGCAATAATGTCTCGAATGGGATGCGCTGGTTCCGCATGTAGGAGCATTCTTCGATCAGATAGATCGGATGGGATATCTGTGTACGCTTCATCCTGTACTACAAAATAAAAGTGGGAGGCAGAAAAATGAGGGAAGAGATCAGGAGAAAAATGTAAAAGCAGTATGTTTATTATGAACTAGGTACCACATAAATAGTAATGGTTTACAAAAATACGACCAAACGGAAGTCTAACACAGTAAACTATAGGCAGACCTTTGCCGCTAACCCGCAAAACAACCGTAGCAGCTAATGAAGGATGGGAAGGGAATCACACGACTGATAAATAAACCAGGAACAAAAGCGTAACGCTTAATTAAAAAGCAATAGTTACTGTTTTGAAATAAAGGCGAAATTGGTAGCTCAGTTTATTTTGGTGTCAGTCGATGAGAGTGCCCGCCCTACGTCACGCTACTTACTACATGCTAATTGACAGCGCACTGATGATGTCACCACAATTGGTGACAAAATGTCTGCAACCAAATTCCCAAGCTCAGCGAACAGTTCGACAATCAATGATGAGAGCGCAATGCCAGCTTCCGCTGCAATAGCCTACACAGCTCCACGAGTAACTCCATCACTAGGCCCTCGATCTTATCAGATGATCCAATGAGGAGATTATGATGAAAGTTATGTGCCATGTGTTTTGAAGTTTGTAGCCAACTAGTGGTAAGAAAAGTATAATCTACCCTCTCAATCACGGCGACAATACTCCCTTCTTCTTGTTTCTCTCTCTTCTCCACCAACTGAGCAAGAGACTGCCACTGCCCTCGCACCTGCTCCCATTGATACATGTAGCCATGCTATCAAACTCATTTTAAATTGGTTCTTTTAACTTCCGCACTCTAGGTCAGATCGGCCAGCAGGCAGCACCAATTCTCACTCTCCACTCTCTTGATATTGATGTGCGCTGTCTCCGGAACACGCATACAAGATAACAGCGTCGTGACAAATCCTCGACTCCCTGGTTCTGAATCTGACGACGTAGGTTACTCTCTTCGTCTCCGGCGACACTGAGTCAATGGATCAAGGTATTTACTCTCAGCAAATATGCTGAAGGCAATCTGCTCAACTGGACACCGATGAACAGTCGCATGTGTTTAGTTCGACTTCAATCCTCTACTGGAGTTAATAAGCAGCGTCTGAAGACAAGGTACGTTTCCATCGCCTCAGATTATGCTCCTAATGAATGCAGATCTGAAGGTATCAAAGACTATCTCTATCAACAGCACTCATCTCTTATTTGAATGGCGAAGAACACTGACATCGTGACTGTTGCAGGTGCCATGAAAGCCTAAGTGGGTGGTCTTTTAGACTATGAACAACAACTGGGCGGCCGCTTCGGAGTAGATGCACGGCGAAGAGACAATGGTGATCGATTCCTGCAACAGAGCACCGACCACCTTTACCTTAGCAGCACTGCCTTTCAGCACAAACGTTCACAACATGTAAGCTGGAATCCACAGAGTTCCTAGATGATCTAGACCCTAACTGACCATATTGCCATCAGCTACAGATGGCGCAGATCAGTCCAAGAATGTTGGTGAATTTGGATCGCGTGTTGGATTCCGATCATGCTCTAGTGCGCGAATGCCTGTCGCTCACTCTTCCCGCTTCAAAAAAGCGCCTATCTTCTAATTTTCTTACTTGTAACTTGAATCCTCAGCTTGCGGTTCAACAATATAATAACGAACTGGCCCACCAATCGTCAGTGATGAATGAGGTTGATGAGCCAAATGCTGACTAGGAGCGACTAAAATGTGCGAAGAATGACGTATGCTGTGCACCCAACATGAGACGTTGTAACAGTGAATGGATCCCTGTAGCATCGATCAGTTTCATCAAAGCGCGTAAACGGGTTCAGATGGGTGCTGAGTTTCAGCGTATCCGCAACTCCCTAAAACGACGTCTGACAAGGAGTCTTCGAGTTGGCCGGGAACGTTGGTGGGTGGAGAGGGCCCGTGAGATTGAGAAAGCCAATGCTAATGGAAGTAGCCGAGTGCTATTCCAGCTCATCCGGAACACAAGTCTGAGGAAGTGATCAGTTAGCGAGACAAAAACTGAGAAAGATGGACTGCTGATCCATTCCCAGCGTCGTAGACTAGCCCGTTGGAAGGAACATTTTGAGAAGTTCAGCAGGACTGCTGGGACACTGCCACTTGCCGAATCACCTGAGCCGATGTGGGGAATGGATGTCACGCTTAGCACTTTCGGAGAGATTTGACATGAGCTCGCCGTGTTGAAACGAAACAAGGCACCTAGACCTGACGACCGTCCCCATCCTTGCTGAAACATGGAGGTGACTCTTTGTTGATTTGACTTACTTCTCATTTTAACACGATTTGGGACACTGAAGAGGTGGAGACTATCAACTGTCTTGCCCAGTTATCGAGACGGGTAGGCTTACTTTGTGCGAAAATCATCGAGGCATTGGCCTCAAAACTTCTCACTGGTATCGTTCTTCGACGCGTTACTGCCCCCCGTGAGTACTGAATCACTGAAAGCTAGGCTAGCTTCCGCCGTAGTTGCATCGACCGCATGTTTAGTCTTCACCAAGTTTTACAGCAGGGGCACATACAGACAACCGAGTATGGTGGTTTTCTGTGATATGGAAAAACCGCCTTCGACTCTGTTGACCGCGCCAGCTTGTGACACTGCCTATCCATGAAGGGCGTGCCAGCTAAACTCCTTTCCTTTCTGAAGTCCCTCTACCATGACCAGCGAGGCCGTGTAAGGGTCTACGAAAAACTCTCCTGAGCTCCCCACGACAAGTGGGATTCCCCAAGATTGTCCTATATCCCCATTCTCCTTCAAGTTTGTGATCGAAATGATCATGAGTGACTCCGTTCTTTCAGGCTAGTCTGGAGTGAAAGTTCTGCCACGCGACCGACTGACAAACTTGAAGTACGCTGACGACATAATTCTCCTTGGGTCTGATGCAGTGGCTTTGCAAACATTACTGCATAGACTTGTGCGTGGCACTGCACACTTCGGCATGTGATTTGCACCTTCGAACTGCAAAGTGCGGTTGCAAGACTGGGCCGAGACACCTTCGGTTTTAGATATTTCCGAACAGCCACTAAACGTGTTGGATCGGTTTACTTACCTTGCAGGCTGTGTCACCTTTGGTGGTTATGTCACTGAAGAGATGACTTCGCGAATCAGCAAGGCCCGTGTGGTTTTCCAGTGACTCAACTATCCATGAATACGGCGGGATATCAGGTTGTCAGTGAAAGGTAAAGTGTATAACGCTGCGTTAAGACCGGTGTTAGTGTATGGATCAGAGACCTGGCCAGTTCGCAGTGAAGACATCAAACGCTTGGCAGTGCTTGACCACCAGTGCTTGCGAAGTATTGCTCACGTTTAGTGGGAACACCGAGTGAACAATTCTGAGGTCCGCCAGCTGATTGTTGGCAAGAAGCCTGGTGCCTCATCCTAGTGTTTGCTGAAGCTTAATCGCTTACGTTGGTTCGGCCATGTCCTCCTTATGCCTGTTAACCGGTTTTTTTCGGCGTGCATGTTGTGCGAAGCCGCGAGGTGGCCAATCCATGACGTGGCATAAAGAAACTGACTGAGAATCTTGGTCAGGCTAGTGCGTGCGGTCTTCGTGGATGGTCCACACCAATGGTTGGAGACCGAATCAGACATGGCGTAGTCACGCAGTCAGTGGCGCACTTGCATTTAGTAGTTAACTTCTGCTCCATTCTGATTAGTCTGACGCACTTTCTTCTTGCTTCCAATTTCTTTACATTCTATTTGTCTTTAACCCCACTATCTTGACGTTGCTAGTTGTTCCTGTGATGTGAGCCGTGGCAACTGGATCCACTGCACTTTGGCGCTCGGACCATGGTTATTCAACTGAACTGAACAACTAGTTAGCCGTGTTAGTAGCTTCGTTGCACGCTGTCACATCTCACCAACCACTGTTAACCCTTTGTTTCCTGGCAATACATATAAGTACCACATTGTATAAATTGTACTATTGCTTAAATGCAAGTGGTACTCCTGCTGCTACTCACAAGGATACATATAATAGACTTTTGTCAAGAATTCGGTAAAGACCAGAACTCTGATATTTTGCTATACAGTGTGTAGAGTTAACTATAGCGGTTCACTTCGTGCGTGGTCGAAAATTGGTTTCAGGGAGCTGTGATTGGTTGCTCTATTTTATAAAATTTAGTCGCAGCTTACCATTCCTATTATTTTTATACGTTTTTTTGTGTGAACATGCCATGATTAGGTATTTATACTTTACAATAATAAGCATAATCCGTAGTATGCTGATCCAACATAGATGTTAGTACAAGAAAGTACCACCAGGCCTCAAACGTAATAGTAACAATCAGAGACCTTCCTGGGCATATCGATGGAGTGAGGAGCAAAATTTAGAAATTTGAAACATTTATTCCTGTAACAGAAGGTAATTTACCTAACATCATAATTATCTTGGTTTTGAGTATTGCCTATACATATATTGTGGTATGAAGGCGGTAAAAGATGGTTTGAAGGGTATCAAGGTAAATCACAGGACACCTAATTCTAAAGACAGATTTGGACTGGGGAAGTGTTGTGGTAACGGATAATTTTCTCAAATGTGTGGAATTATTTAAGCACATGAAGGTGAACAACATTTTTGCCCGTGAAACTGTCCGTCCCAGCAGGAAACATCTTTCTGATCTTCAAGGGGACAGGGAGATGAAGAGAGGTGATTTTGATTATCGTTCTATAGATCAAATAATTGTGTTCTTCAAGAACATCATTTACAATAATATAACTTCAAGGTAACAATGTTGATGAACTACGTTCCTGTCGGTACTTACAAGCACAACTATAAAAATAAACATAAAATGATTACAAAAGTAAAATCCTTTATCTTTATAAATAAATAAATAAAGCTTTTATTCGCGACAAGGGGAGGCACGCCTTTACAGACATGATCAATTTGACATAACAATGCGTGATCAAGAATGTGCAAAAATCCAATATGTTTGCCATAACAGTGTATGTTTTCGTGTAGGTTATGTAAGTATGTGATTGTGTGTGTGTGTATGTAGCTGTGTAGTTTGTGCTTGTAATTGTGCTGCTCCATTCTTGAAGGTTTGATATCGTCAGCAATGTGAGAGTAGAAGGTTGGCGTCCGTGGGTTGTTGTTAAGCAGACATTTGTGGTGATTTACAGAGAGAATGCTTGTCAGGCGAAAACCCACCACGTTCTGGAACAATACCACCGAACTATTTTCTGCAACGGGTTAAACTCGAACAACCCAGCTGGCACAACGAGGAGGTTGTTCGGCTAGCCAGCCAAAATCTACCTTATGACGTGAAGAAATAATGAAAGTTATAGGTAAATAAATTCAGGATTCAAAGGGTTAAACTAGGATAGCCTGATATACTACTGCTCCTGATGAAAATATTTACCCTACTGCTGGAATGTAGCCACCTTCCAGATTAATGGAAAACGTTATTTATCATGCCTCGGCACAAGAGAGGTGCAAAAGAAACGAATGATATATGCCAACCAATTCACCGCACTTCGATAATCACTCGGTTATTAGGAAAACTGGTCAGAAAGTAGATGATGGATTTAGTCAATTCTTTTGACCTGAGCAGTAATTCGCTGCATGGTTTCCTTAGCAAGCGATTGTACACCAACTGCCAACTGCATTACTTGAACCACATTTCAGAATAGATCGATTCCGGCTATGCAGTAGTGATTCTGTTTCGGACATACACCAAGCATTTGACCGAGTACCTCACAAGCGATTGTTACAAAAGCTATCGTCGTACCCGAGTGCTCATCACCAGATAGTCACTTTAGGTGACTGTTGCTCTTCTCCACGCCCTACCAACAGTGGAATCATTCAAGGGAGCGTGCCAGGTCCTTTACTCTTTCTGTCCTACATCCATGACACCAGCAAATCTGTAAAACATGGCAGACCATATAGCAAGATTGTCTATAAGCTTCGACGTGAGGAACTTCACGGAACGCTACTGCTCATTCAAGAATACTTACATTCCCTTAATTCATGGTGTCACACCTGGTTGATGAAGCTCTCGGCTAAGAAATCACGCATAATATCTTACGGCTCTTCCATCCCTGAACGATCTATCACACTAAACCATAAAAACATCCCTACACATCTGTCCACGAGTGATCTTGGAACTAGGTACTTGTCTACCTTCAATTTCTCCGAACCGGCCGAACATCAAGTAGCATTCGTCAGAAAGTCTACTCACCCACCTCATCCTCGATTACTGCAGCATAATATACGGTACTATGAGAAGGAGTGACAGAATTGCTGTGGCGCACCTGTAGAAGTCATTTACTAAACATATGATTGGCAAGCACTCTGCTGAGTCAGGACCACCTGGAGTAAAATGGGTATACAGGTAGATTAAAATATTTATTAAATAACATATTGAAGTTGTATGAATAACTGTAGACTTTTATTGAACTGGAATGATTTTTTTCGTTTCGCATAATCAAATAATGGTTTGCTTTGCTACTACAATACAGAAAGCTCCACCATATAGTTTACCGCTGCCATGTGTCTACACTAGCAAGTGAAACCTCACTTGCAGATAACCAAATATCAAAAATCGACTGGTATGCGCTAGATATTATTGATCAGTAAAACTTTTTCTTTTAGTTTACAGACAAAACAAAATGAACTTTAATATATTTTAAAAATGGCTTCCGAATAAGCTAAGTGAGGCAAAGTGGGATGGTTTATATTTTATATGTGGAGAAGCCAATTCTGCTTATTTATAATGGACATGGAAGTCAACGCAGTTATAGGACAGTAAAGTTGGACACCAAACACAGGCCACCATTAGACGCTGGTATCTTTAGACCTTTAAAGTCTGCCTGGAAGTCTATTCCGAAAAGGTGGTTTCGTGAAAGCAGACTCCAGTAAGTCAGCGAGGAAGATTTTCCTTCCTTGCTTAAACAACTGTTTGATCAATTGCCGCAGAAAAAGGCTATCAGTGGGTTTAGAGGCAGTGGAATCTGCCCTGTTAATAAAGAAGCCATGCAGCATAGAATTGTAACTTCTGTGATAATAAATAATCAGGCCTTTATTCCAGCCACAGCAGCAGTGGAATCAGAAGTACGAAAAAATGAAGTTGTTGACCCTCAACAAAGCACTTCTAAAAAGCTACAACTTATTTCGAATAATGTCGAACCATCACACTTTAAGGTTGACAGTAAGCAATAATAAAGACGATTTCGCCGAGGTGTTCGCCCATTAATTTGGGGGCCATGGGCAATGGTCGAAAAAAGAGTTCAAACAATGTCGGGAGAAGAATTAACAATAGAGGAGATATTAGCCAAGCGTCCTAACAAAGAAATGGACAGAAAAGCAAATAAACCTAAAAAACAAGTCAATTTTAATTTCATCAACTTCCCGACAGATATGAAGCAAAATGGAGAAGGTGCACAAATGCGCAAAGATGAACATACAAACAATATCATTAGTGGGGCTGGGTTCCAGTTAAATATGGGGAATTGTTACTGTAACCCCAGACGAAGGCTTGTACACGGTGAAATTTTTGACTAAATCACTGGTTGAATCTTCTACTACGTTTTTCCAGCAAAGGACACTGACGATGTTTCGGTCGAAAACATTCTTAAAAAGATTCCGCAACATGCTTGAAATCGCCATGAACAACATAAATTTGGCTAGCAATATGATGTCAGTGAAACGTTTACACCCCAGACATCATTGACATTTTTTGCAGTAACACTGTTTCCAAAATATTATCATGGAACCGTAAATTTTGTCAATATCATGATTTTGCATAAAACTTGTGAACGCCTGCTTTAATTTTTGGCTGTAAGATGATATTATTATTACTGATGGAAGGCGATATATCCATTTCCTCCCGGATCATACCTTTTTTTCCCAGGCCATGAGGTAAAATAGGTATACTATAGGGGGAAATGGATAGAGGGCTAAACTCAATATTTTAATGACAAAGATAAATTCATTGATCTGGTTACGGTTGGTTATAAGCTTAGTGTAAAGATTATGACGTAAAACTTTAATGTAATATGTTAACAGTTTGCTCAGGGCCATGGCATGACAAAATATGCCTAATTTAAGTCCATATTACTTTAAGTGACCCATCGAAAACGTTGCAATGAACTTCATCTCGAACCACTTAGGATTCAACGACTGAAGCACAACTTGTTGCCACTTTTAACACTGCTACACGTAAAGACCTATTCCGACCTGACTATAACATAGCTTAGCTTGAAAGCTTCGCAACAAAGACTTTACGCAGAATATACTGAAGACTAGAACGTTCGCACGAATTTCTTCCTGGTCAGGTATAGTTACCTGTGGAATAAACTACCAATCACACTCGGGTCATGTGACAATGTGGCAACATTTAAAAGCATATTTTCTTGATCTAAATACCATAATTATTATATTTAAATGGAAAAAAGCCATCAACGAGCTATTACAAGTGGGACCCAAAAACATCAAAACATAAATGTCGTCAATACTAGGCTTTTGCCTCAACCTTCCACTAGAAGGTAACTACATGGAACGCACCCACATTCAAAGAATGCAACTTATTTCAGAAAGGTTTGAAAATAACCCGTTGGCATAGTTTGCGGGCATCGTTTCAACTTTGGGATAAAAATTTCGTCAGGCTGAGTGAAGCAGCCGCTATAATTGCCAAACCAATCATAGCCTGGTTCATTCGGTCTGACGAAGCTCTTGTGTCAAAAGTGAAACGTTGCCCATAAACTATACCAACCGGTTGTTTTCAAACTTTTCTACACTCATGAGTTCTCGATCGGTTCCAAAAAAATTTTCAAGATGTTGTATGGAACTGGTGTTTAAAGAAGCTAGAGAAAGATGCACGACCAATACAAACCACTATTCACCTTTTGCTCCTGAAATCTGCCATCGACGATGCTTGAGGCTAAGTCATCCATTCGTTTTCTCTCAACAATGTAGTCAAGCACGGCTTCCGATATTTCACCTGTATGCAAAGTACAGTTACAGGAACTGATACATGTAAAAGTAGTGGTAGTAGCGTTTGATGAACTGCAGTGGTGTGTATTGTGCAAGTAGTTAAACGTAAAACCAGTGTCACAACTCGATAGTATTCTGGGATACTTTAACAACATTAACGACGAGTGTGACTGCGAGTGAAGAGAATATGCCAGAATTAGAAGAGAGGTTCTCTTCTATTCAAAATGGAAAGGAAAGGAAGCTGAGGATAAACCAAGGTGGGCTGCTGGAAATTGTGCAAGACAATGACTTTTAAATGAGAAAATTTCACCAGTTGGACAACCAAGCTAAGGAATTTTTAACTCTACCAAATGTTCAATTCTAAACGCTAAACTAGAACGGAACAATGAATGCAGTGATCGAGGGTATGGTTTAACCGTTCCAGCAGTAAAGGGGACAAAGTCCAAATGCACGGAAAAAATTATGGAATGGATGTGCATGTTGGCGCTCCGCATCTAAAATAATGACAATATGGCACTACCTTACAATTAGCAGTGCAATTTGCATAGGGCAAAGTCCAGAGAAGGAAGATGATGAGCGAGAGTACAGGTTACATGTAAGTTTCATATTAAGCGCTTGTGGGTGGCCAACAACTGCAAAACCGAGGTGAAATAACAGCAGACCTTTGTCAAGACATAACGGTGTGAGCAGCATTCTAAAGTGGCCGACTACACAGAATAGGGTTTCAGGTAAAAAAGCATCACGCCCAGCGGTTCATGGGATAGCAGTATGGAACCAAACAGTCTATAGAAACAAACACTCCTCGTTCAGTAAGAAAAACATTAGAGCTCAACTGGTGAGTTATATGGATAGAAGATTTCGAATGTATACAGACAACCGAACCAATAGGAATGATAACCAATAAAGAGTCGGCAAAAGTACATGCTCACCACGCTCATCGACCCAGCGAACAACCCACAAAAAGTCACCGACAGGGAGCGCACGTGATTCACAGTCAACGCCAAGCGACTGCAAAACTGGAGGTAACAACTGCTTTACTCGATTTAGTCTGGGTAAAAGAACGAAAAAGCAAGGGGCCGTTCAAGCATAAGAAGTAACAGTTGAGAACGAAAGTCGAACGAAGAGGCGCAATAAGTAGCTTAGTGTTGGCTTTACGTTGAAGGAAGAAGATAATGTAAACGAAACGCAGCTGACCCGTCGACTGGATCATGCTGAAACGGGTACGAACAGAGGACTTTTTCAAGGGGGTTGTGAACTGCAATACTCGGGTAGTTCAGCGGGAGGATAGTAACCGACAAATATTATCCCGTGGAATGGTACCGCAAGTGCATAGGGGAGAGGTAAATGACGAATAGAGAGCATGGCGACAAATATTGTAACTCAAGGGCTAATTCGTGGATTTCGTGGTTCTCTAAGTTACTGGACCGAATTCAAGATGAATGCGACCCGCAGAGTTCAACGCAGAAAAAAACAAGCCATGTGATGAACTGTCGCGAAGCAGAAAGACCAAAAACCTGGAAGCAAAATGTCGATGGCTAAAAACACGTTTGTTTCGTTTACTCAGGCAGCTACTCAGCCTTCGTGTGTCTGCCCTCCGTCCACCCAGGCGTCAGCCGCTTGTGAAAAGCGTGCCCTGGTGGATGAAGTCGATGTGTGGCCGCTAGATGACGTGGCGGCAAAGAAAAAGTAGGTGATGGAAAGCCTACTCGAGATGATAGATATCATTGTACTCTATAAGAATCTAGTAACAGTCCACATCGTTGGTCGCGCCGTAATGCGGCAGTATAACAATTTGGGGTCAATGTAATTCGACTAGCTGATTCCAACTGTTTACTTTTTCAAATAAAAATAACAGTTTCCTTCCACTGAACGTTCTGATCGTCCGCTTGTTTGCGGTTTATTGTTCACTCTCCATAGCTATTGCATATATCGTGACGTGAGCCATGGCAAAACGGACTGTTGCACGCTAGTGCCCACTTAACAGTTGACTAAATCGAGCAACGACAACGGCCACTTCGCCGTTGAGGTTTGGTAGTTAGTTTGTGCATAATTTATCGTTCTTCGTTTTCCCATGTCACTGTCCTATAATAATCTAAGTAACAGAGGTCATAATGGCATGAACCACAAGAACTCGATGCTCAGAACAGTGTGGTATCGGTTCGAAAGATTTCGGTGTTGATCTATCACTACACAGACGAGAAACTTGATCATCGGTTGGACTCATTTACAGAGCGCATGAGCTGGGGTCGGAGCTCAGCACATTGTGGTTGACTACTGGCGTCAAGATCACTAGGGCACTAAGCTCCGCCATAGACGCTTGGTTGTGATTCGAATCGATGACTTAAAAGAACTAGCAAAAACTGCAAAAGTTGCAAAACGATTCATCATGTACCAATTTTTGCCATGCGATATGGAATGGGATCGCAACATGTAATTTAAATTAGAAGAGTAACAAAGTCTTGGGCAGACGGCCGTCATCGAGAGTTGCAAAAGTTTATCGTAGATGAGGGTGTCTCGTTACTGAAAGTTCCATGCAACGCGCCGTTTACCTCAGCTCTTCAAACGGAGACGGACCACACGCTGCGTGAACGCTTGGCTACCGACCTAACTGTTGACCTTTGTGGCAATGCAACTCGGTATGACTAGACATTGGCGAATGTACACGTATTCGAAAAGCTATGCGATAATTGCGGCTTGCGTGCGCAACAATGTAGGTTACCAGATAACCACTACCTTTGTGCTAGCCTACTCATGAGTAGTAGAAAATAACATATTTGCCATTCGAGGCCTTCGGTAGATACATAGTCGGGTAAGGCACGTTTTTAGCCTGAAATTGTTTGCCTAGGCTGCGTCAAGCGCAATATTGCCTTTCAAACAGTGGTCGACTATGCTAAGCTACCGTTACTCATGCCGGTAAAAAAACGAAACAAATGGTGTTTCCAACACTATTTTGCTTAGAATAGGGACGGTGAATCCATCGTTAATGTGCGACGAAAAGGCGATTCAGTGCATTGAAATTTGACAACTGACGGATTTAAGCAATGTATAAATCACACCGCACTTCATAACCTAGCCGTGCCGATTGGTGCGACAGGAGTATGCAATCGAAGGGAACGGATGGGTCCGAAGGATGAACAATACAGCCAATCGGAAGCGGACCAAACGGATTCGGTCATCGAATGCTGATGATGTGTTGTGTTCCCTATTTGCTTCCTTAATTGAATTCATGAGGAAGAATCTCATCGCCAGTAGTTTTCTTCATCATGCTATTTTTACAAGCGTGGGAACATGTTCGCTACGACTGTTCTGAAAGTCGCCAATCTGATTCTTTTTGTGTTACTGTGAGAGAGGACGTTACTGTGGGCTTATGCTAAACATAGCTCCGCAGATCAGATAATAAATAAATACGTTAGTCTTCACCATACCAACCAGCTTTATCTATTGTTTAAATTGCATCCGATTTATTTTCCCGTCCGCCTTTATTCCTCCCCTGATCACAAGTTTCACTGAACGCAACGTACAGCCGATGGGCGCGCATCACTACACAAACTCTATTACTGTTGAATTTAAATTTTCCCCAATCTGTATTGAGTTTTAACGTCCCATTCCGAAGCAATATTTCTTCCACAAATCTGTGATTGACTACATACTATATGGCACAATATATATTTAATCTCGACAGCAATCTGACCATTTTTATCTTCTAGTGTAATCTTTGGGGTAATTTCATTGCATCATAAACATAATATAATGCTAAATTTCTCTCTTTATCCTTATAAGATACACTTATAGGAATGTCCTCTGAACAGAGAGAAGGGTCGTGGCTAACTCAACATCTTATTCTCGTCGTTCAGTGTATACATTATTCTTTCAAGCAACAAATTTGATGTTTTTGTGGGTATAGCATTTCAAAATTTCGAGAATATATATATTATGATAACAATTATAAATTGACGTAGCAAACATCATATGTTAAAGTGATCATTTAGTTGAATGTGCAATCGTTTTCGCTTGCTTGGCTTTGTAAGTTAAATCGCTTATATCACTTCAGCAACAATCAGTGTCGCTATGGAGATCGTATCATACACATTCTGGACACGCCTCAATGACATATGCATTTAACACAAACATTACATGGAATCGTACACTCACCCAAATTGCTCACGAACATCGGCCAATAGGACAATTTTATAGGACCCACCAGCTACCACGAGTGAAGGCGCTCTGATCCCTGAGGGAACACCAGAGGAGGGAACGTTTTGGCGTAATGAAACAACTGGTTGGGATCGGGAGGCAATGTGGTCCGAAAGCGGTTGAACAGTAACGGATGCACATGAGGACGTCAGGGTGACATCTGTGAATTGGTTTGAAGATGGATAAGGGTAAGGAAATAATTAAACACTTTGTGTCCAATGCATCGCACAGTTCATTGTGGTGTTTAACTATGACCAAAGGGTAGGTGGGGTTTGGAAAGATGATACCATATTGCAGACTGTGGAACAAAGATCATTTTCAAGAAGAAATTAGAGAATTGTCAAATGTCCGACAAAGTCTGTAGCCAGTAGTGTCACGTCGATAAATATGCGACTTTTGAACGCAATCGAGGAAAGTGGATATATTGCACAGTAAATCACTTATCCGAAGGCATTACTTTGAGAGTCATCACAGTGTGACGTTTACGACGGGAGTTATAGATCAAATTAACCACCTAGTAAACTACATATGCTCTCAATGACCGTGATTTCCGGAAGTTATTTCAAAATAAACACTGGTGTCAAAAAGATCGCGCGTTACACGCAAGATGCAGGGTTAACAATCTGTCACAAACTAAATGAACCGTTTCAGTAAACCCAATTTGGAGTTCAGATTGTCGACTATGATCTGTTCATCGAAGTACTATGAATATAGTCGCAAGAAATACTAGTAAAAAAGGTAAATAATAAAAATAATCAAAATGATTAAGAGAACAAAGAAAAACGAAAACAGTTCGTCAGTTGGAGCAGCTATGAACCAGTAATAGACGAATGAATGCAGAAGTGCTACTGCCTTCAATATTGTGCCGATTGTAGGCGGAAGTGCACAATCCTATGGACCCTATCTCAGGCATACCAGATGACGCAATCGGACTTGCGTTATCTATACCTATCTTCGTGCTCGTTGCCAACTTGTCGGTTGGCCACCTCAAGTGATTCACTGCTACGGTAAAGTTAAAGAATATAAGGCCAGGCAGCCAGTTAGCTGGCATAATGAAGGAGTTTGGGTTTAGCAGACAATCTGATGCGGCAATAGACGGTTTGTTATCAAATAATGGACTTCAGTGGCGCACATCAGACAAGCAATCGTATTGGCACATCAGTGGTTAGAAATAGGCAGTCTCATCAGGGCATGGTGACCATGACTCTAGTCAATAAAGCGTTGTACACCCTACTGTTAACCAATAACTTTACGTCGCTGCTGCTATGAATGACAGAGGCTGTGAAACGTCACACAAACCACAAGATACATTATAACCTATTCGGTGACGCAACTACCGGAGGTGATACGGCTATTCAGACGAGTAAACCGGTCGGCCAATTCAAGTGTCCGCCCCATGATTGTAAAAACGAGGTGAGCCGACCAAGTGCTCTGTACTCTAAGGCTGTAATGAGTGTAGTGCATATTATGTAGTGTATATTAAGTAGACCTTACATCGCGAATGGGTTAGAAATCAAGGGAGCAGTAACATCCGCGGTTGGTAACCTAAAAGAAGAACCACTATCATAGAAGAGGAAGTAGGCAGGGCAGTCATTCATGACAAGCGCGATCAACAAGTCGAAGGGGAAAGGGGATAGAAGGCAACACCTTTCCTTAAACTACTACGCGTTGTAAGGGAGCAATTACTTAGATAGAAAAAATTTCATGGCACGACTTTCAGGAAGTGATATCACTACAAAAAGGTGAAGGAAATAGACGCGAAATCAGCAAGAAATCTACAATGATAAAAAGTGGCTTGCGAATAAAGGAAATACATCTCCATATATGGCACGTGTAGTGGGTGACTCATTCTTAATTGAAGGTGTAACGCGTATTTCGTCTCTTGGTCGTCTCTTTCTCGTCGATGTGTCACTTGGGTCGCAACCATCGCTCGTTGCTGGTTTGCCACTCAATTTGGACCGCAGTTACCGCGTGTCCCCTGTTGCCACTCGATTCGGTCCGCAATTGTAACCAGCTTCCCGTTGTCACCCAATCTCCCCATGTACTTGCCTTACCACACCTACTCCCCTCTCTTCAACCACTGCAAACGTGTTTCGTGCTAATCACCCCTTGTCGGTCCGTCTGCGTTTCGCCGTCCTCATTAGCGCTGTCTGCGCGATTTGTATCCACGACATTGTCATTATGCATTAGTTCCCGCATTAAACGCAGAGATGTTGCTCAGCGGGACCCTAATGGACCTTCCCTAATACCCTTATTCTGTGCAAGTCTCACTCCCGTGGTAGTTGGAAATCCTTGTGAGTTGTAACCGGAGTCATTCCGTAGTTTTTAGAAGAGAATTTAAATCGCCTCCGGCTTTGTTTTGTTTGATATTTCTAAGCAATATGTACCTTCAGGAAAACGGTGTGGAAAACTGGGTCGTTCTCCAATAGGGATAAAAAATGAACAATGAATAAAATACTGGGGAGATTAGAGAGCAAGACGCATAGAGGCGTAAGTATGTAGGGGGCAGCAGAGATATCAACGGCTTAACGGTAAAACATAATCAACGGGAAAACTGCTAACGTTGAAATAAAACACTATGCAGAAGAATACTTATGAAGTTACTTGTAAGATTGAAAGAGGATGCCTCTGAGACAGGATGACCTGGAATCGATTCCGGTAAACAGTCTGGGGGTTTCTGGATAACTATGTTCGAAATGTGAATGGACAGATTTGGTGTAACGGAAACATTTGTTTGCGGAAGCGACGTGGGTGAGTTAATTATTCGAGTGCACTGTAAGGGCGCAGCAGGATCGAGGAGGTAAGCGCTGACAGACGAACCATTGTCGAGGGAGCTGGAACGAACAAAGATACCGCGCCAAACAAATGAAAAACAGGGAGGGGACGTATCATGATAAAAAAGTATAAGTCCAAGCGCACGTAACTGCATCAAGATGGATATACATATATATGTCACTTTAATCTGGATAAATTGCATTCCACTTTATGTGGTTTTTTCTACCTACCTGAATAATCTTCTACTAAGTGGCCACGTCGCTTACGCTAATTGCTATTACCTTCGGTAACTTTGTTACGTTTGTGGCATTTTTAAGTAACTTGTGGACATTTCTTACTTATCGCGGATTCGTTGCTAACCAACTTACTTCATATGCTAATTTAGCGAAGAGTTATGCCACCGTATCTGTATGCATTATCGAATTTATTTTATTGCATCTTTCGTTTCAAGTGAATGGCTGTTGCTTGATATCCCCCAAGTGGCTGCGCTTGATGTGCAGGTTGACAAGGTGCCTACCTGTCTATTACCCACTACCTCGTTCATACTGGCTCCAGGAGACAGTTGGTCGTTGCTCGAGAGGACGGGATGCACGGTCCTTGTGGCCGTGCTAGGCTCGAAGAGCGGCTCCACGCACTCAGTGTGGAGCGGACTACGGTCCAGTCACCGCCTTGTGTGCGCTTGATTCCTCAAATACAGCGTGCTTGTGTTTGTCTGTGAAGGAGTGTGGGCCGGCTCCGTTGATGAAACGTGGCTCCCATCCACATGCCTCCCGATCTTATTCCTTCGGGTTTACACTGGATATGGGGTGTGATTGGAGTAGTGAGTGATGTAGCGCAAGCCACCCATGGTCCCTCCGTAGGCGCAGGCGTACTGTGGCTGGCCACAGTGACAGGCAAATCCGAAACCCGGTGCCGCCCATCATATATACATATATATATATATATATATATATATATATATATATATATATATATATATATATATATATATATATATATATACATGGAATGAGGTCACCTTCCTTATGCTCCCTTCCCATGTCATTCGTTGTTCACAGCGGTACTTGTTCTATTCGCTTCCGGGAAGTGCAAATAACCCTCGACGGGAAGGCGACAAGCTGGTATGACCAAGCCAACAAAGGTGTAGTCGAAGGATAACAATTTGGAGACAGGGACTGTTCTCTTCAAGCATTCGATTACGAGCTTTCTGTAAAGCTTACAAAAGGTTGCCAACACACGCGAGTAATACTCCGTAGAACACATTTGTAAAAAAGGATAGTCGTTTCATGTCATCGGAGTGAAGAGGCCAGGTCTCACAGCCATTTAGTAACATCATACGGATGGAGGCACTGTGCACCCTTCCCCTGAGCTTGAAATTAACATCGTGATTACGACAAAGATGTCTCAGTCTGGTGAAAGTAACGCGATCCGTTGTGAGGCCTGTTCTCTTACACCGGTCTTAGCCGTGATTTAACTTCCTAGAGAGATGAAGCAAGGGGTTTGTTCCAGAATGTCGGGCCCGGGTGTCTGCTAAACCTAGAGTAGTGTTTTATTTTCGTAAGGATGAAGAACAGACCGTACCTGGATGCTTCCATCACTAAGCGATTCAAAGTGTTCTGGATGGCCGATCGATCATCCTCCAGCAACGTGATATCATCAGGCAAGCAAAGAAAGTGACTTCGCCTCCAGGGGAACATCAACGCCACAGTTATGAAGGCCAGCCCCTGTTCGTTAGACAACATCGATTGCGAAATGTAGCAGAAGAGGTGAAATAGGGCAAAGTGAAAGCCGCTGGTGACAACACAAGACGAAAAAAGCCTGCCGCAGGTCCTAACTTTGCCCGACGTGTGGCTGTACAGTTCCTTCAGGATGGCTACAAACTCCTCGGACACATATTGCTTGGTAATCAGTTCCAGAAATCTGAAATATCTACTGAATCGAATACCGCAAGATTGTCCAAAAACGCTACGACTGCTGATCGTCGGTGTAAGTGGCCGACGGAACGTCAGCAGTTGGTGGAAGCAACCCCAGTCTGAACGAAAGACGCCTTGTTTCCCTCTGGAAAATCCTGCTAGTCGCCGAAAGGCTTGCGAAGCAAGACGGACACATTACACTTGGATGCAACACAGAGCGACGATATTCTGCAGTAGTTGGTGCAGTCGTCGCAGGAACCTTTTTGTGGGTCGAAAGAACTAACGCGCATAATGTATTAAGAACTTTCCCGTCAGTCCAAAACTTCGTGAACAGTAGTAGGATTTCTTTGGCAAGCACAAATCCACCATTTTGAATTAAAACGATGCGAGATTGTGGACTGGGAGCTTTACGACGTTTCAAGGACCCGATTGCGCTACTGATCACAGCCTCGGTAGGAGGACCTGTAGAGACACATCATTCACCACCAGGCGGAAATGGGGATTTCAAAGAAGACAGCGCTGGGTAATCAAACTAACGACTCAAGCGCTTGCGTAGACTTGTGATTTTCGTGCCGTCTAACTCACAGATTGTTTGAGGGCGTTTGAATTGCAACAAGTGGTTTAGACGAGGCATAACAAACTGCGACAGTTCCCACAAAGAAAGAAAGACACCAACTGTACCCAGGTACGCAGTACCGACGCTACGCTGCCGCGCAACCGTAGGCTACGGATACTGCGAGAGTCAACCGGTCCCTACACATCATCAACAACATGAGTACATGTTAGCTGAGGGACAGAAACACACCTCAGCTAATGTGCCGCATTAGAAAAAGAGAAGAGACTAAAAAATTACACTACAAGAATATGATGTTTGTCATGGGATCATGATTGGTGAGGGGAACCTAATGGGATGGGAATGGACAAAGAAGCACAACACAAAGGCCACTGGGGCGGGATCCTAGCCATATCAGCAAGCGTGTTCAAGCAAACGTGTTCATCCTCCTTAAGACCCCAGCCAGGCAGTCGGGATGCACCAACCGACGCCTACTTCGAAGTAAGGGTTTTCATTTCTCTCGACCAAGTCATCGCATGGCCTCTCCTCTTCCAACCGCGCCACAGGTGGCGGAGATTGGCAAAAGCACCTCGAGCTTTTGCTAGACGGTTCGAAACCTCATCTTCGATCCTACGGGCGCTAATATAGCTGATCAGGCACTTGAATTCCTGAACGACTTCTAGCTGATCACCACAAAGCGTGAGCGCAAGGGTGGGTCTCTGCCAAGCTTGGAGAAGTACATTGCATTCCGACGGAGCAAAGCACAGCCCAAAACGATAGAGAGCCAGTGCTAATCGGTTCAGCGCTGGTTGACATGTTTGGGAGCTGTCACAGATTAGGACAATATCGCCTGCGTACTCCAAGTCAAGAAGTCGCACACCAGGAAGTAGCTCCACACCTTCTAGGTCGTGTCCAGCGAATGCTGTTTCCGTGAATTCGTCAACTGCAAAGTTAAATATGAAAGTTGACAGCGGGCAACCTTTTCTCACACCGCTGGTGATACTGTAGGGTGGCCACAGTTTGCCATAAACCCTCACTTTGCCCGAACTATGCGTGTACAGAGCTTCGATAATGTTTAGGTATTTATCAGGCACACCTTTCCTCAACAGACAGTCCCAAAGGGCACATCAATCGACTGAATCGAAGGCACCTTTTCTGTCAAGAAACACGACAACGATGGGTCGGTAATAAACATGGCGGTGCTCCACCAATTGACGCAAGGTGAAGATGTCGCCGAGGCAGCCCCGACCTAGACGAAACCAGGCTTGTTCTTCATGAATCTGGCTTTCACGGGTGCCAGTCAGTCTGTGGAGAACGACAGACGCACGAAATTTAGACAATTGAGGTCAGACTGATCCCTCTATAATTGCCGCATTCCGAACGGGAGGCTCCCTTGGAAATTAGGACAATGACGGAGCGGCTCCAGTCTGTCGGGATAGTCTATTTCTCCCAAAGTTTTACTAGCAACTCGTGTAAATCATCTACCAGAGTAGGTCCCCGAATTCGTGGAGGGCTGAGGGAATTCTATCTGCCCCTTGCGGCCTTATGCAAGTTCAACAGCCTTTTCTCACGTTCGACTTCTGTGCATGAGGGCGGATCAAAGAAGGGCGCTCAGTACCCGAAAAAGAAAGCGAAAAGTCAGTTGGTTAAATTGCCGTGCAAAGTGTACGGCCCAACGCTCCAAGCGTTTTGATAGGCTGTGGATCGGCTGCCTACTCTCGTCGCGTATGGTCTCGCTAACACCAGGTCTAATGTTGCCTGTTTCCCGTATCAGACGGAATAACTTACAATGATTATCAACGGCAGCGGCTGTTTCCATCTAAGATGCACGGTGAGACCACCAGGCTTCGCGGTCTTTTTTCAGGCTAGCACGTAGTTTTGCCCTGAGATTTTCGCGAGCCTCATTGTATTCGCTTCCAGCCAGAATACGTCAGCGAGTATCAATAAGTTCTGGAGACTGTGTCCCATGAAGACATGCCTGCTGATAGTGACGTTTGACGAATATGCATCTAGTGATCTTCGACGGTGTTCTGTGGGCGCTTACACAGCCCGGATGTCAGCGCAGTTTGATACACATGCAGAAGACCTGGCTTCGCCAGCTGGCTGGTGTCAATCCGTTCACATCGACGATAGGGACGTCCACCGAAACGCACCAGGAGGTCGTCACAGACAAGTGCGTGGTCAGAGTCCACGCTCGTGCTCCAAATCGAGCGACAGTTTTGGACATAGCCTCTCCAGCAGTAACTGATGGCGATATGATCGATTTGCGTCCATGGCTGGCCCGAGGCTGGTGGCCGCCAAGTCACGCTTCTGCGAGTGCTGTGTCTAAAGTTTGTGCTCACGAGAAGGAGACGAGCATCTTCACACAACTGTAGCAATCGCTCACCGTTATCATTACGGGAGCCTACACCATGTTGGCCGCCCAGATGAATCTCATCAGAGGACAAGATTCCGACTTGGGCGTTTAGATCGCCAGCTAACACCACAGTATCCGTGCTTCTTCTCTAACGAAGGAGCTCGTGAAGTTGCTGATAGAAATCGTCTTTCACCGAAACACTGCTACAGTTTGTAGGGGCGTGGGCCGCAATGACAAACAGGAACAGTTGGTTCCCGCGCGACTTCGTAGCATGGAACGAACCAGCTAATCTAACGGTGCACATCCGACTGTTGACTGGGATCCAATCGATCAGGGCAGCTTCAGTCCGGGGACTCAAAACAATGCGGATGCAGCTTGACCATCATTTGAGGCTGCATCATCACCAGACAGGTACAATGAGAATATGCCGCCAGTGTCGCATGTGGGGGATCGCAGAGTAAGCACGGAGCTCGAACCGTGCAGGCAGGTTTCTGATAAACAGCAAATATCGATCGATAAGGTCTCCAGTGTGCTGGCAAGTGCTGCCTGTTGGCCAACCTGTAGCAAAGTGCGCACGCTGAGGAATGCCGGTCTTAGCGAGATTCGAGAACTCCAAAGGGAAACGAATGAACTGACGTTGTCCGCTTGGTTGAACATGGACTTGTCGACTGGATTGGAGCGACGCCCTGCGACTGTGTGTGAGTTGAAACTAGAGGACAAGCGACTATTGAAGCAAGGTGGGGTGGAGGATTGGGGGATTGAAAATGAGGGGATAAAAGTAAAGTTGGAGCGGGACGGTAAGGATGAGATAGAAAGATGGGACGATACAAAGTGTACGTTTGTCGGCTCGATGCCTGCTAATCATGCAAGAGCTACGGGACCCTATAGCACTGTTCACTGGAATCCAGTCAAGAAGGACGGCCACTGGTCTAGCACTGAGTGCGATCCTAACACCAAATGTGGCACACTCAGCGTCAACAGAAAGGAAAAAATGGAGAAGTCCGGGTGAGTAGATCGGTGACGACAACCAGTAGGCTGTGTTGGGATCCTGAAGTCAGACAAGTAGAAGACATCAGTTGTAAGAGTCTTTAAGTCCAGCTTGTTGTGCGAGCTGCATTAAAGTGCGCACATTTTATGTTACAAGCTTGAAACGAGTTCAAGGTTGCAGAAGTGACGATGGGAGACTTAGTGGCCGGTGACTTCATGTGAGGCACTGTGTGGTTGAGTTGATGGATGTTAAGTGGACAAACTCATCGGAGGAAGTAAGGTTGTTCGCGTGGAAAAATACGGTAAGAAAAGGAGTGAGTAATACAGCTGGAGGGTACGTAAATGATTGAGGTGTAACTGTAAAGTTGGCGTAGTGGAAGAAGAGTAAACGATCATCGGAGCGAAACGGCATAAGTGCAGTTCTATGGTTCCTGGCGGATACCACTCGTCTGCCTAGGCCGAAGTAGGTATGTTATCTTAAAGGACTACCGCCCCGAGATTTTGACCAAAGGATTTAGCCCACAAGGTGGGAGAAGGGTTTCACAATTTTTGAAACCCGGTGACTGACCGTTCAGTTCATAGGACTTTCGGGTAGCGACAAATGAATACCAGGGGTCCATGATTTCCGATCTCATAGACGAAATCCTATGTTCGAAATGCTTGAATCCAAGGAAGACAAGGGCCAGTGACTTTATTTAGTGCAAGTCACATCCGCCAAATCGCAGTGTTTATGGACAGATATTAGTGGTTTATTATAGGAAGAACGGTTTCCAGACGTAAACCTGTCACATCCTGAAACACTGCCGCCGAACTATCTGTTGGAATGGGATAATTCCGAACCAACCAGTTGGCACCACAAAGAAGTTGGTTGGCAAACCAGCATTGAGAATATTTAGGAGTTATTAGTATTTTAAACGAATGTGGGTCTCAAATCACGGAACATCGTTTATTGGCGTTAAGCAATTTGTGCTAATAACGAGTTTTTCGTTTAACGTTACATCTACGGTTACCAAAGCGAAACATCGTCCCATTGTCCATTTTATGTGTTTTAATTCATTCTACACTATTAATAATCTTCTATTCTTTGCTGGAAGCCACATGTCAGCTATACGCTGCAATCCACTTCGATTCGAATTTCTATTCGTTTCGACTGGCTTCACCTGATGGAACTAACTGAAAATCTTTCAGGAGCAGCACTGATTATAAATACTTCGAATGCACTGCCGAGTGCAAACATTTATTTATTTATTTATTTATCTTCTTCGACTGCTTGTATAAACGGTAACAGACAACCACCAGATCACAAGTTATTCCAGGGAAGCATACAAAATTTACCCATCATAGTTTTCTTTCTATTTCTTTTCGTGATCGGTCACAACTGGGCCGATCTCCCGAGTTGATGGATTAACGCTCCCAAGCTAATTAGCTAAAATCACACGGCGAATTGCCACAGGCCCACTGGGGAGAAAAAAGTGTTGCTGCGCCCAAAACACGAGGATACACGTTGACAGCCAACGGCTTATACCAGCAGCCAAAAAACGAGTCAACATGCTTGTAAGCCACATGGCCCGCACATGGCCAGTGCGGGTGAAACCTCTTGAGGGACTACCCCGCATGGAAGCAGGTCCCTAAGAGACGTTTCCACGGATGGTCTTACTGCTTTATTTGAACTGCTGGTTATGCCGAGATTTATGCCTACGAGCTACTTTCCGTATATATTATAGTTTTTAAAAAATTATGTCCCGCAAAAATTTTGCTGGAAGATACTTTGTAAAACTACAAAAAATTTTCTCTGCTATGTGATTATGTTGTACATAATGACCAGACAACGTAGCTGGTCTGTCTCGCATTGTCGAGCGATGCACCATTTATTTATTTATTAGGAATAGAAAGCTATGGCGTTTGTATGAAGGCCGACATGGTGGGTTTTCACAGTTAATCAGAATCAACTTAGCAAAGCTGATAACAAGAGCTGAACAAGTGAAAAATATATGGACACAAAACGACAGCTGACCAACAACGGACAGAGAGAGAACATAACTGACCCGTTTTATTCCATCAACATTTCTCATACTCGGCATACCACCCGGAAATAGGATTTGGTGATAGATGGAGATCGGTGAGCGGTGAAATCCTACGTTTCAGCAACATACACTACGGAGATATTTTGTTGATACGGGACTGTGGACATAACTTATCGCAAAGATGCTGAACAGTATGATAACAACGTTATATTTTTGGCGCAAGGTCTACGCTTGCTGCGAAGTGTCACAAAAGTAAGGTGTTAACCGATTGAATTGTAAAAGTGAAACACTATCAAGATATTATACCAGCAAGCTGTTTACAAATCTTTTTGAATTAAAGTAGTCGATCCGTTTCGTGTATATTCCAAGATATTCAGCAGCGCTAATACCGTTTATGAGCATGCACCTGGTGCATGAAAGACCTGGAAGGTAGCGTCGCAGATTTGCCATATGAACGGCACTCGCAAGGAACCAATAAAGTTAGATCAGGCATATGCAGTAGCACGTTGTGCCCTGCGAATCAGTGCATGGGATGCAATTCCACAAATGCAGAGGCTTGAAATAAGCCGAAACAGTGACCGCCGTGGTTGATTCTTCATCCGGTATTTGATTCGCTGGGCTGGACCGGTTGATTGCCAAGCAAATTGTCCAGCTCAAGGGTCCAATTAACAACTGGGTATATCGGATTAGCTTCGATTGACATTAGTCGGCTACACGAATTCGCAAAGAATTAGAAGGGTCACTTGGAGCATAAGTTGCGTAAACGAATTGCGACGCACAATCTTTATTTGGACCGCGATTCGCACTGAAGCGAATCATGGTCAATAGATCACTGGAACGGTAGATGGAGAAGATACGTATTGGGTGTTATGCGACCGAATTGACCAAGATCCCTTAAGTGCGAATCGCTGTCCACATTGAGATTGCGAGTCGTAACCCATTCACACAACGTCCGCTCCAAACGACCAGCTCCATCAGTCACGAATCGTTGTGATAAGGTTTGCCCGCCGCGACTCGGGGGCTTAGGGGTATAGGCTTCGGCGAATTTCCCAATAACCCTGGGTTTGAGTGCGTTATCTCTAGCTGGTTAGATCAAATAACGTGCAAACTGGTCATATATATATATATATATATATATATATATATATATAATGTTCGCAGAATAGAGTACAGGCAACGTACCATCAGAACCATGGGAAAATGCAAGACAATAGCAAAACGAAGGAAACCGTCGTTTTTTGTGTTTCTGAATATCCTTTCCAAAGACGACTAACCGATGTTCCTTGCACCGTATGTGCAAGTGACGTGATAGACAAAAATAGGCTCACACTGGGTCATCACTTCTTTCTAAGTCTCTGGGTAATGAACGAAGTGAGATTTATTACCTGATTCATTGCGGCTGGATGTGCTTTTTCAGCAGTCCTGGGGAATGGTCAAAAGAAAAATGCTTCTTGCTGCAAACATGACCGGCGCATGACCGTGAAACACAAAAATCGGATACGTATTGCATCCAAGAAGCTATGAATGAAATTCTGTTTGATTTCCAGCGCTGCCAGAATGCAGTTTTGGTGACAGAAGAGCATTTGCAACACCCTGGTTTTCCTCTGTGTCATTGGACCAAAACTCAAAAAGCGTACGTGTGTGTTAGCCCACGAAAATGCTTATCGGAAAGCGGTCCTACGTCGAAGGGAAGAGAGTAAAAGTTAAACGGAAAAAATACTGAAATAACCTTACGCGAACCAGCCATGATCTCACAAATCTAGGGTTACTGCCGGCTAGAAGAACGAGGCCGAATTATGCAAACGGATGCGGCCTAATCCAGAACCAGCTAGCCGTTGCGTCCGCCAGTAATGAGGTAAAGATTACATCAAAAGATAATTAGATAACCAACCTGGACGTGCTCCAATCCATCCGGTATGGCAAACCAGCAACAATCAGGTCCTCATAAGCACACAGAATACGAAAGCCAGTTAGCTGCTCGCCGTCCCCAGCATCGGAATCAAATGTGGAAACATGTGCATCGAATCGGTGGCGAACTGGCTCCCCTTGAAGATTGGCATATGTGAAAGTCAGTGGATAGCTGAGAGGTGGGGTGAAGCAGGAGAGGAAGCCATTCTACACTGGGTAAAAGAACAGTGGATACTCTGTTTAAACAAATACCTCACAGAAATCTGTCTCTGAGGGTAACTCAGTGCATGTAATCCGCCAGTACGGAGAGTGAAGACGGAAACTTACGAGATGCAAGTGGAGGAGACCTCTACATGACCAGTGCAGTCTTCTTTCTCGACTGGTTCACTGTCCACTGGAGCAGCAGGGGCTGTGTGCGAAAGAGAACAGAGGGGCACCCACATTAGCAACCATGGGTTGCTGAGCAGCGTTAAGGTAGAAAATAATGCGAACCTAGTCATGAGCAGCAAACAATATACAGCTTGCAGTAGCTAATTTTATAGATGCCTGCTGAGGTGTCTGAAACCGCACTACAACTGAATGTCAAAACACCTCAACGAAATTAAGTGTAAGCAGTGCATACAGCATGCGGGATAAGTAGTGGCAGGTGACGTGGACGAGGATGGACGCAGCGGAGTAGACATCAGGAGTGGCTGGTTTGATGCGACAGCTAGAGCACGATGTCGGCGAATAAATAACAGGGGCAACAGGAGCAGTGGAACATGAGCAGAATGCACTGATGCGTCTGTACTGCAGCCATGATAACCTTACTGACGAGGATGATCAGCTGGAAGTCGTTCAGGAACTCAAGTACCTGGGCAGCTATATTAACGTCCGTGGGATCGAAGATGAAGTCAAGAACCTTTTAGCAAAAGCTCTAGATGATTTTGCCAATCTCCGCCATCTGTTGCGCCGACGCGACGTCACTCTCGCCATGAAGGGCAGAGTTTACAATGAAGCCGTCCGTTCAACCCTCCTTTATGATTGTGACACCTAGCCCATCAAGTCGACAGACATAAAGAGGCTACGTTCGATCATCGCTGTTTTCGTAGCACAGCTAATGTCTGGTAGAAGCACCGCGTGAGAAATGAACAGGTTCGGCGTCATGTATTTGGTGCAGGAAGAGCGAGTGAACCGCACAGCACCATTATATCACGCACCAAGCTCCGATGGCTGGACACGCGTTGCGCTTTCGTGCGTTGTTTACACGCCTGGTGTCTGGATGCGAGAGTAGGAGAGGAGGCCGAGTGGTGACTTGATTTAGAGGAATGAAAACCCTTACTTCGAAGTTGGCATCAGTTGGTGCATCGCGACTGCCGGGTTGGGGACAAACGGACGATGAACACGTTTGATTGGTCACACTTGCTGATTTGGCGAAGAGCCGGCCCCGATGGCGTTTGCGTTGTGAGTTTCCCTGTCCATCTTTCTCCCCTTTAGATTCGCCTCCGATTACAATCTCATACCAAATGCATAAGGTGATAATTACCATTATACTACCGTAAAACCTCCAAAGTTGACCACCTCTTTACGTTGACTACCTTTTCATAGATCACTATGTAAACCCTATACAATCAGACCATCACTGTAAGTTGTATGTCGACCATTTGGACAATGACAGTCAGTAATAATTCAAACCTCCTTAATTTGACCATTTTTGGGGCTTGCCATCCAATGGTTCCCGAATGGCTCGTTTGTTCCGATAACATGGTGTACAGCGGGGCTGCATTGTATGGAATTTTGACCCACAAATCAGTGAGGATACATCATGTTCTCTGTATGTAGGTATTTGTGAGTGTTTGTCCCGGCCGTCATCGGTTACGCGCACGCTTGTTACCTAGATCAGTGTGGGTCTCCACAGATCCGCACCGACGGAATGACCTAGAAAGATTTGTGTTCAACTTTCCTCACATGTCCACAGGCAAGCCTTCGACTACCCATAAGAATATGTGTCCACACATTGCAATCAAGTTTCTGTGACTGTCAAACCACTACATCTAAGCACGAGTTCATTAGGCACCTTGGACTGTGGCAACAATGACGATTATCCGGCTCTATTTGGTATCGGCCTGAGAGTGAAACCAATCACGGTTAGTTATTGAATGTAAATAATGTTACCCAAAAAGAACCGTAGACCTTAGATACACTGCGCGCTTTGAAGAATTTAGGACCGGTCATTACGAGTAATTCAACATTATGGCCCAGAGAAAAGATTTCAGAGAGTTGACTTTGAAGGAAAAGATTAGCCTATACCATTTGCTGAAAAGCGGTAACCAAAAAAAGACGGCAGAGCATTTTGGTGTTAGCAAGACAACAGTTAGCAACGTCCAAAGACATAAACACGAGTATTTGGAAAGATATGATAATGAAAGAGGAGATCTACAGCGGAAGAGGCGGAAAACTTCAGACCTTGAAGTCAGTGAGGCTACGTTGCGCTGGTTCAGGCAAATGAGAGCAGCTATCCCTTGAATTTCTGGGATGATGATTCGGGAAATTGCTGAAAGGTGCTCACAAGAATTTGGCATTGCAGATTTTCAGGCATCCAATGATTGATATTTCCCAAAGATTTTTATTTGGGGAATTCAATGAAGTGCCTAAAGAGTTTGTTAAAGACCTCATCGAAAATTTTTCGAACAATGACGACAATTTTAACACTGACGATTGTGGTCTCTTTTCCAAGGCGATGCCTAACAAAAGCGTTGTTATAAAGGGTGACAAATGTTAGAATGGAAAACACTTCAAAAACGTTTCACAGCTATGTTGTGCGCTAGCTCGTGAGGAAAAGCTAAATCCCCTGGTTACTGGGTAAATCAGCTAGACAACGTATGTTCAAAAATCTAAATTCTAAAAACCACCCAGTCACCTGAAGATCAGACCGATCTGCATTAATGACTGCTCCCATATTTAAGGAGTGAATCAGATGGATTGACAAAGAAATGATGAAGAAGAAACGGTGCACCATCCTAACAGTGGATAACGGTCCTAGTCACACCCATGTAAAAAATCTCACAAATATTACACTTAAGTTTCTGCAAACATGACCTCTCAAATGCAACCTCTGGATCAGCGAAATATTCGAAATGCACTACCGCGCCCAGCTTATACAATGGGTTATTGTAAAATTGCGTACTAATGATTCTCATGCGGAAGGAACTTCATCTATTGCTTCCGTTAATGTCATGGCTGCTGTGTTTGAATGAGTTCCGCATGATTCAAAGTTCAAGCAGAAATAATACATAAGTGTTCTAGAAAAGCCAGATTTGTTCAACCTCTCGAGCGGGAGGCCGTCGCCTAATTGGATATTCCATCTCCATTGATAGAATTCGAGGAAACAGATGTTAGTTTGTTGAAATTGATTATGGCTTGGTAACTTGCACTGAACCAGACCCGTGTGATAATGACTGCGGTACTCGCTCACAGAAACAAAGAATAAACATCTGATAATGCTGATGGAGAATAAGGGAAGGACTGAGTGACGGGGAGAAGGGAATCGCAACAAATCCAAAAGAAAATGAAGTCGGAGATTTTTAATGCAACGGAAATCATTTGATGTGGAAAAGTTTCAAATATTCTGGGTAGTATGGCTTGTGCTGAGAGTGTATTTCAGGCATATGTGTTAAGAGAAACAACCTTGCAATGATTGTCACTCTCTGCAAAAAATGATTTAATTTGCAAAATACAGTCTGCGTTTTTGATGTATTTTGACACTGTATGGGTGAACTGCGTTTGCCTTTAAGTGAGAACTCGTCTACTGTGTTCGAGACGGGTTTATGTGGAAATGAATTTCATACTATACTACTCACAACGGGAAAGTAGGTTACGCTAAGTTTTGGCATAGAACCTCTGTCTGTTGACCACCGCTCTATGTTGACCACTTTGGTCCAGTCCCTTGTGTGGTCAACTTACAGTTTTACTGTACTTGCCTTTGGAAGTTTTCCGTAGTCTGTAATTTTAGTAGCTTATCACTTTGTATTGCGGCACATTGGCTGGGGTGTTTCTCCCTCTCAGCCAACGTGTGTTGATGGTGATAATGCGAAATAGTAGAAAGGAAGTAAGAGGCATAATGCAGTCTCAATGACCGAAGCTAGAGTGGTAACAAACAGCTGGATGCCGTACAAAGGGTATGCGACATCGATGAGGCACATTCCGTGGAGCTTACACCTCCCGTGTCATAGACAACTTAACGAATAATGTGATCGGATCATGAGATGACTGTAAACGTGACAATAGTACCGATCGCAAACCAAGTGAAGAGTGGATCTCTTGGACTCTAAACTGGAAAGCAAGACGGACCTACAACAACAAAGCTGGTAGCTGGTGATTGTTGTTTTTATCTGTCAGATTAACAATTGACCAGGTCGAAAGTTACACAGTCCCCAAATCAGTAAACAAGATATAGCTCTCCTATGTAAGCAGGCCTACGTAGTACGCGCGCAAGTTAAGATGACTTCTGTGGCAGAGAACGCTGAGCAAAAGAACTAAACTGATCATTATCGTCCGCGCACTGTTACTGACACGCCGGTGCCACCGACGCCAGCACGACCTAGGGTGTGGCGATATCTGAGAGCCAAATGTGTCTGACATCATCAGAGCACATTAAACGTGTTTCACTATCACAGAGTAGAACGGCCGTCACTGCAAGCTTGAAAATACGAATATTAAGAGAAAAAGAGATACACCAGTGGATTTTTGGAGTACCTGCCGTGTGTCTGGATTGCGATACGCAATCTTGATTGAGGCTACAATTTGCCGCAAATGTCACAGATGCAAGAATGCAGTTCAAACCTTCGCAACATATAAACCAACTTCAGCGGTCGCGCGCCAATCGCTACCAACGCGGCCGAAAGATAGGTGAATTACTCAACTATCGCCAGTTTCCTGTAGTCAATAGACTGGGGACTATCAAGTGGATCGTGGTACTGTAACAGCACTTAGTACTTTAAAGGCACAAGTTGAAGCATAAGGCAATTCCAAAGAATTCAATAACAATAGCGTCTGCTTAGTCCTGGTCAATGAGACTTCCATCAGACTACATCGCAATGCTTACAAAGCGAGGTTCCATAAGGGAATTTATTGTGATGAAAGCAACATAAGCTGAATCAATGCCTTTGTTAGAAAGGTGTTCGAGAACTCGCCGTAGACCCTAATGCGATCAGTGCTGGAGATGTCAAAGAATTATAAAGTTCATCGGAACATTCTTCCGAGCAGGCATACAGCACAGAATGAGGTGACCGACGGGGTTGAAACATAATTGCAATCGATTCGGGATAGACGTAACCCAGCTATGGGAAATGCCTCAGATCACAAATATTGTTCCTACAACCCCGTTCTAGAAGGAAACATTCCCACATAAGAATGCTGTACTATAGAACAAGTAGAAATGAATTCTGTACAACACTTTCGGAATATAGTGAAAAACGTTATAAGACTACCGACTTGCATCTTACCGGGGTGAGAGGTTACACCGGCAACTTCGCCGTTACCAGTGCCAAGCTGACACCCCTCGGGGAAGCGAAAACAATCCACTGGAATAAAAGCGGATGAAAAACAGCGGAGTCAAACATCAAGTAGTACTTGGCAGAAGGGAGAACCGGTATCAGAAACGGATCATTATTAGATTGAAGACATCTTGGTAAAGAGCTAAACTTACCCGCTGGAATGTGGAGTGGCGACGCTGGTTGGTTATCCAGCAAACGGTAGCTGAAAAAGCATAGAAAAAAATTCAAATAATTATAAGACGCGATCGTAAGGAGTATAAAAGTTGTCACATTGCGATATAGACCATATCATGCTACAAACTGCCAACTTCCGTAATTGATGACACAAGGGGTGTAGAGTTGGTGTTGCTACCAGTGCCATCAGGGCAGCACGTGAAATGCTCCTGGTACTTTTAACCGGTTTGGTGTGAACGGCAACTGCTATACCAATGAGAACGTGCGATGAGCAATAGGTATTCAAGTATCATGCGAGACATACAGAGGCAAATCGTAGCCGCTGTGGCCGCCTAGGTGGTAGCTAATTGAAATAGAAACAATATGGGTTTGACTGCGGACAACAGAATTCTCGATAGCTGGACGAAATTCGTGGGAGGAAAGGTTAGCTGATTAAAATATAATCACCGGTCAGAATGTCAGTCAAACATTTTTTGACCTACGGGACGAGATGGTAGCGACGAATATTGATAGAAAGGATGGGTAACCTAGTAGGGATGAAACACAAATCATAGGAACAGAAAATAAGTTTGTCTGCAATAGGGTAGCAACATGGGGGATTACTCCACAATATGAGACTAGTTAGGTGCCACAGTAACCCCCTCTGCAGATACCATAGGGATATATCCACAAGGCCCCATCTTAGGCCACTTCAATTTAGCTAAGCGTGCAGGTTTCCAGCACAGAGAGTGACACGTGTGGATCAGCTTGAAATAAAGGCAGATTGACAGTGAGCAAGAGAGTCGCGAGAGTGTGACGATTAAGATATGTCATTAGTGGCCTCAAGGGATAAAAATTACAGACCGAAGTGTATTGATTTAAAGTATAAGCAGCACACCAGTAGTTCGAAGAACACTTTGTCGCCATGCGAACACGGTCGGTTAAGTGTGCGCTAAGAGCACTGTGAGGTCGTTTATGACTACGCCGACTCAAAGCAGCGGCTGTGTTACACAAACCAGAGGTCCTAGCCACTCAGTCACTGCCGAATCAAAAAAGCATGCAACCAAAGCATGGGACCGAACGCCAGTAGAAAACTGACATTCTTCTAAAACAGGTGTTAGGTTAAATCAACCGAGGATGATCTCAGCTGCATAGATGCTTTCCGATCTAATTGGTGATTGAAAAGATGATGAATGACGACATCATCTGATATGGAAGTTCTGTGTGGGGACCGCGCGAAAAACTCAGAAAATGCAGTAGATAGACTCCTCTTGTAGTCGAAGTTGTTCCTTAAATGGGCCGATGCAGAATGTTGTGCATCGCAGCAAGTCTTTCGCTCCTTGCGCCACCCTACACCTGGCAGACTAAACAGGGCTCTCCTAGGTAAGCGCTGACCAGGCATACGTAGCACGTGCCAGAGCCAACGCAACTTATTCCGTGCTATCTGTTGTTCTAGGGAGCTAGCATGTTTATCACTACCTAGCACTCGCCTACTCACATCATCGTTGCGGACACCTTGGTGCCATCCGACTCCAGCAATGCTTTGCAGACAACGATGATCAAAGACTTGAAAACGCCTCAGATCTTCAGACCGAAGGGGCCAAGTCTCAATACCATAGAGCAGAACGGCCCTCACTGTGGCCTTGTATACACGGCCTTTCAGACGGAGGGAAACTCCCTTCTGTCGCCAAAGATGACGCAGGTTCAAGAAGGCAGCTCTGGCCTTTGCAATGCGTGAGCTCACGTCAGTTTCTATGCGCCCATCATTGCTGATGCAGCTGCCAAGATAAGTGAATTGATCAACCACCTCGAGTTCCTCGTTAGCAAGCGTCAAGGGGTCATCAAGTGGCTGGTGGTCCTGCAGCAACACTTTGCACTTTAAAGGTGCGAAGCGCATACCAAATAATGGGACCACTCTGGACAGGCTATTCAGGGTTGATTGGACCGCCACAACATTGTCGAAAAGCAAGATGATAGCGTCCGCATAATCTAGATCAACTAACCTTGCACAAGGCAGTATTTCAACGCCTACATCGTGAGATTCTGCAAAGGAACACTCCATGATAGAATCCACGACGAAATTGAACAAAAACAGGGAAATCGGACAACCCTGACGAACGCCACTTGTGGTCGGAAAGCTATCCGATAGGACACCGTAGACCCTGACGCGGCCTGTAGTGTTCGAGTATAGAGCACGACGAATGTTCACACATTTCGTGGGAACACCTTTCCGCGCAAGTATTTCGAACAGAATCGATCGATCGACTGAATCGAACGCACTCTTGAAATCGAGGAACACAGCTATTGTCGGTCTGCGGTATGCGTGGCGCTGCTTTAGCACCTGCCGCAAACTGAATATATGGTCTATACAGCCACGTTTTGGGCGGAAACCGGCCTGCTCTTCCCTAATCCGAGATTCCCGTTCCGCAGTGAGGCGACGAACGAGAATTGAGGCCAATAATTTAGTCACAATTGACGTTAGGCTAATACCCCTGTGGTTAGAACAGTCTGTGCGACTGCCCTTCTTGTATATTGCCACTATAATCGATTCGCTCCAATTAGCCGGGATGCTATCTTCTTTCCAGACACATTCGAACAAGGTCAGTGCTTTGCAGAGGATCACACCTCCATCCTTAAATAGTGCAGGTGAGATGGAATCCGGGCCAGCGGCACGAAAACGATTGAGAGCTGTAATCGCGTTTCGGACCTCGGCCTCCGACGGAGGCTCTAAACTAACCGTCCATGGCTCGTCCTGCATCACCTGAGTAGGAAGAGGTCCGGGAGCAGGAGGTCAGCTGAACTGATCTTGAAAGTGTTCCGCCCAATGAGCCATACAGCGCTCGTTATTGTGTATCAGCGCACCCGCGCTGTCTCCGATTGTGTCACTGACGCCTGGGTTTCTGGGACCAGTGGTGCGGATTAGCTGGAAGGGCTTGCGGTAATTGGCTACTGCTCCTGACTGCTCCATTTCTTGAGCCCTATTGGTCCACCAGGCTTCCTTGTCAGCACGTAAACTCCGCTTTAGTTCACGCCTAATAGCCCGTCTGGTTACATTGTGTTCAGAGCCAGCCGGGAGGTGTCTTCTAGATTCCAACAGGTTCACCGACCTCTCGGATATCCAGTGACTGGTGCGGTGACGATTGATAGTGTTACAAGCAGCTGCTCCTGCGTCGTGCATGGCGGCCGAGATCCTATTCCACTGAAGCTCAGTGTCATTAGGACAAGACCGCGGAAGTTCGGTATGCAGTGCGTCTTGATAGGCTTGCTTGACCGAAGGCTGAGACAAGTTCTTAGTTGCCAATCGGGGGAGACCCTTGCTGCCCCACCCGGTAAAGTACATGGAGAAACGACAGCGTACCAACATATGATCAGAGTCGATATAGGTACTCCAGTACGAGCGGCAATCCAGGATGCAACCACGCCACCTGTAACTTATGGCTATGTGGTCAATTTGGGTCCATCGCTGGTCAGCTACAGGAGGACGCCAAGTGGCACTTCGGCGCCCACTGTGTCTAAAAACGGTGCTACTAAGGAACAACCGGCGCTGTGCACACAGTTGCAACAGCCGCTCGGTGTTTTTCTTCCTTTTGGAGTTAAACCCGTGATTATCACTCAGCTGAGTTTCTGAAGATCTCATTGCCCTGCTTGTGCGATCATATCCCTTGCAAGTACTTTATTAACTGAACTAGTAGCACTGCGCAGTAGCGCGTTCAGTTCGTGATAGAATGTGTCCTTGAAAGCATTAGAAAGGCAGTCGGTGGGAACATAAGCTGAACTTACAAACAAACAGCATTTTGTATTACATCGTGAATTAAAGTTAGCTGATGTCGTCAAACGAACTAAATATAAACGGCTGTTCACCGGAGTCCAATCAAACCAATCTCGGCTTAGCCACGTAAGAGAGAAACGAGAGAATGTGAAACTACTTCTAGTACCTGCTCAGGACGCAATTACATCAATTACAGCCAGGACAGCGTGTTTGAGTCAGGGACTATCGCCCTGGAAGACGGTAGTGGTCCACGAAAACGGTAATTGCAGACTTGGAAAGTGTCGTATAGTTTCGAATGGGTGTTGTCATCATCATCATACACGTTCGCTAGAGGTGGGAAACACCTCAGCTACTGTGCCGCAATACAAAGAAAAAAGGAGAGAAAAAACAACTGGTGAAAGCTGGCTGAGTTACCGGTAACGGATGGGCATCGTTCCGGTAAGCTACCAGCCGGCTGCTGTGCACCCAAAAAAATTATTATGCAAAATTATATAAGGCTAAGTAATGAGATCGTGGTTGGAGGGGGAGGCTAAGAGGGATGGGGTGGGACAAAAAAACTCACAGCACGAACGCCACTGAGGTCGACTCCTAGCCATATCAGCAAGTGTGTCCAACCAAACGTGTTCATCGTCTTTCGGACCCCAACCAGGGAGCCGAGACGCTCCAACCGAGGCCAGCTCAGAAGTGAGGGCCTTCATTCCTCTGGACCAAGTCATCGCTTGGCACCGCTCCTTTTCTTCCATCCACACCCCCGACGCGCAAACAACACAAGTCGCGGAAGTCGGTGGGCTGGCATGCGTAACACGTGGCCGAGCCATCGGAGCCTGATGCGTGAAATAACGGTGCTGAGCGGTTCATTTCCTTTTCCTGTGCCATAAACAAGGCGTCGAATACACTCGTTACTCACGCGGTGTTCCCACCAAATGTGAGTTAAATTACGAAGGCACCGGTGGTCGAACGTAACTAGCCTCTTCAGGTCCGCTGCTTTAAGCGGCCAGGTTTCACAACCGTACAGTAAGGTCGAACGTACTGCTGCATTGTACACTCTACCCTTCAGGGCCAGAGTGATGTCGCGCCGGCGCCATAAGTGGCGAAGGTTAGCAAAAGCACTTCGAGCTTTTGCTATACAGTTCGGGATCTCATCTTCAATCCCACAGGCGCTGATACAACTTCCCTGGTAGTTGAATTTTTGAACGACTTCTAGCTGATCCCCACCAAGGGTCAGCATAGGAGGCGGTCCAGACCAACCTTGGAGAAACACTTTGCACTTCGGTGGTGCG